ATTTCTATCTCTTTCTAAACAGTAACACAAGCCATATAATCAATGCACCAAATAAACATCTTAGAATCCCCTTTCAATCATCATATTATATTATTTTTATTATGTGGTCTTTTGGCCTAAATTCAACCATTCTATAATTGCAAAGTTCTCATATGTTCAATTGAATATAATCCGTCCAATCTTCAAAAAGCTTATATATTGAATAACTAACGTAAATATTCTTCACTAAACATTGTAATAATCACACATTTATATTGATATGTAATTATCACATTACTTTAATCCTTTTTAAGTAATTACATAAAAGTTTTCAAATGAAAATTTCTCTTTATTTTCTAAATTTTTTATTTTTCTTATAAATAGTTTAAAAATTCTGATAAATGAGTTTGTTAGGCATGATAAACAATTTATAATTTTTTTTAAATCGTTAAAATGATTTATAAAGATTATATATACTTTTTTAGGCATTAATAATTATTATAATACTTTTATATACAAATATAATGCTTTATATAAGTATACGCAGTTATTATATCGATTTCTATAAATTATTTTCTATTCATTTTTATATGTAGTTTATAACTATGATATAGAACTGATCAAACATTAAACTCTTTCTATAATTATGATAATTAGTTACCATAAATCATTATTCACAATACGTTTAGATTATTTTAGAAAGTGATATTAATTGGTTCATATTTACCTTTATTTTAGATCAATTTAAAATAATTAAAAAGCAAAATCATCAACCAATCAAATTATCATATTTTAAAAATTTTATCAGTGATTGATACGTAAAGCAAATCAATAAAGATTTTTCAATTAATATATAAGAGGATAACTTAAATATCCACCTCTAGTCAACTTTGCATTTAGTACTATCATTTGGACATAGCAACCGCTATATTAGGGTTGATTAGTTAGTGTTTTAAATTTAGATTTTTTTGCTTTAAAAAATAGATTGTGATTTTTTGCTTTGGTATTATTTTTTTTTTTCTGTAGAATTATTTTCAAAGCATTTGATAAAATCTATATATAAATGATTTTGAGAGTTAAACATAATTTTTGTTCTAACTATTTTTGCTGTGTCTTTACTATTTAACTAAAACATGATTACTTTATAAAAATGCTTTAGAAAAAAATGGTTGTCCAAAGAACCTACGACCATTGCCAATTAGTCTCACTAGATAGTCATTCAATCTAAAATAAGTCTTGCTTTTACTCATTTTTTCTAGAGACATCCCAGTATAGTTCAGTTCAACTTAGGTTTGGAGAAAAAACCTTAACCGAACCAAAATAATTGAAACTGGATTGAAACCTTCTAACTACTCAAAATAATTTCTCTACTTTTGTATCTGAAATATTCGAACCAAACTGGAATATCTAAAATCCAAATGAATATCTGAATATATAAAATTTAATATATATATATATATATATTACAAATATGCCAAAGTATTTGAAAAAAAAAATTATCAAAAATATTTTAACTACCTGAAACTATCTGAAATTATTCTGATATTTTAGTTAGAAATGTCTAATATAATCTGAATTATCCAAGATTTTTGTCAGACTCATCTTCATTTACTTGAATTTTATTTAAAATACTCTATATTTTATTTGAATTATCCGAATTGCCCAAAATAATTGATCCATAATTGGAACCAAATGGAAACTGGGGTTTTCCATGTATTAGAGGGTTTTTAGATTTACTATCCCGACCGACCCAACCAAAAAGCATGAATCCGAACCAATTCGAATCAAAAATTTGACAATTCCTATATGGTCCTCTATTCAGTTCTCTAGATTATCTGATATCCAAAATATCCAATCAGAACCATATTGATACTCGAAATGCACACATCTTGTTCTATTTATGAATTCGACGTATAGACAAAAAGACGCTAAAGTCGGACTTGTTGTATTTATTCAACTTGCTACTTTCTTTTGGGTTTGGTATGTTTGTGACTTTGTTATCACATGGTATACAGTTGACATTTACCAGTTTCGTGCTTGACTAGCTTCAAAAAAATATAATTTATTATCTAACACTAATTGAGTTATATTTTCATTTGCTTTCTTAAATAGGTAATTATGTGTCAACAAAACAAAATAAAGATTTGTGTTCAAAAAGAAACTTAAAGAGGTTATTTCATCCTACTATATATTAAATTAGAAGTCACTTAAATAATTTTGTTTATGTATCAATCATACGTGAAGTTTAAACAAATTATTATAATTTGGTTAATGATTTTTAATATTTAATTATTTTAAATCAAATCTAAACACACAATCCTAGAATCAATTAATGTTAGTTGTCAAACAATCCTTATAATTTTACACATAATCACTAATAGTATCTATGGATACCAATTATATAAATTTTGTATAATAATTCATCATTTATTTTTCTTCATTAGTAGTCTATTTATAAACTATTTAAAGTATATAATTTAAAACTAGTTAATAAAGCTTATATAAATCAGTGGTAAAAATATTTTTTTCTATATAAGTCATAATATACATATACAACATATAATTTTGATAAAAAAAAACATTACAATAACTATTAGTGCATAAGAAAATAGGTTTTTAAATTATTTACGTGAGTTTAAAATCATTTTTGATGATTAGTATATTATTTGTAAGAAATTTAAAGTCATTTATATTAATTCATTTTGATGATTTAGATAACATAAATAATAGTTAATATTTATAGAAAGATTTTTTCAATCATTTAAAAGGTTTAAAATAATCACTAATTAATATTGTATTATTAATAAGAGTTTACAAAAATATAAAAATTTATAAAAATGTTAAAATCTTTATAAAACCATTTATAAGAAATAATTTCTCATTATTTATAGAAGTTATAAAATATGGAGGAGTTAGCTCCGCCGCGGAAGATCCTCGAACCTACCACGAACTTTTAAATTATTTAAAATAAAAAAAAACCATCGATGAGTTTTTAATAATATATTATACAAGTCTCAATTATTTTTTAAAATATAAATTATGATGACAAAAAGTTTATTAGTTATTTATAATAGATAACAAATTATTTTTCTTGAGTTATAAAACCACTTATTAGTATTTATGAAACTATTTATAAGGATTTAAAAAACTTCTGAGAAATTATTCATATAATTTAAAATTGTTAAATGTTTTAAAATTATTCATATAATTTATAATTGTATATTTTCATTTATAAGAGGTTTAAAATGTTATAAAATCAAAATCAATCACAATATATCATTTTCTTCACAAGTTCATCATTTTCAATATTTTCAAAAATATCATAGACAAAATTCGTTTTGATTTTATTTAAAAGAAAAATAACCATAAAACAGATTACACCAGTCATAAAACAATTCAAAGAATATTATGAATAAAATTATATTTCTAAATTTATGATTTCTTATATTCTTAATTTTATTAGATAAATAGAAAGTCTTATATAAATATAGTTATGTTTCTTCTCAATAATTTTTTTATTTTATAACTTAGTAGCAAGTGTGGGTCTATTTGTCACATGAATTCATGATTTTGGATTTTAATAATTTTATGGACAAAAAACTTGATTTACAAACCAGATGAACTATATATATATATATATATATATTATATGTTCTAGAATAAAATGTTATATACACTTTTCTTTCGAGAATCTTTGTTAGCCATATATAATTGTCATTTTCTGTAAAAGATGTAAAAAATCTAACTAAATATTACACAAATCATATTTAAGTTCTTAAAAAAAATTTAACAAATAAAAGAACTAAAATATATTTATTTAAGAAATTATAGACTAAAAACTCACATTTATTTTTAAAATATAATATTGCATTCCAAAAACATAAAAAAAAATATTAAATTGTATTAAAATTTTAAAATCATTTGTTGTCAAAAAGAAAAATCATGTATACCGTAAATTTGCTGACAGTAACAGACATTTACATGTGAAAACATGTCATCATCGATGTTTATTTATAAAATACTGCCACATTAACCGGTTATCTCGGGTTACAGAAATAATCCAGCCTTTCAGTCAAATAAAGAATCAAAGGCATCACAATCACAGTTGTTCAGTTTCACATGGATACCACCACATTCATTAAACTAAACATGCATTATCTAAGAGGGGGGGTTTTTTTTTTGATCAATATCTAAGAGGGTTTAGTATTGTATTCAGGTCTTGAAAAGGATGATATCATATTTACGAATTTTAAAGGACGTCAGATATTGTAATCTGCATAGAATAGTCATACGCTAGAATCTCTAATAATTAGAGAAAATGTCATTTTGGAGAGAAAGTAATATTTTTGTTTAATGACTTATAAACTAACATGAATATATATATATATATATATATATATATATATATATATATATATATATATATATATATATATATATATATATAACTAATATATATATATATAACTAATATATATATATAGCTAATATATATATGCATATATATAGTTAATATATAGTTAAAATTATAGAGTATATATAATATTTGTTGAAAAAAAGATCTAAGTTTTTAAAACATTATGTTAAATGGTATTTATATAACTAATTTAGTTAATTTCATCATCTAAAATCCTGACTTTTGTATATGTGACAATAATGTCATCTTGTCAGTTCACACAGAACACTACATAATGTAACGTTTGGAAAAACATTTTAAATAAGATTGCTTTTTACATTTATTTAGTTTTCTTAATTACATATATCAAGGTTGCATGGATTTAATTAATAACTAGCCACCATAACTTTTATCCATAACTTTTAAGAAGTTTAAAAGTTAAAAAAACTATAACAAAAAGTTTAGTAGCTTAATGATTATTGTACTACATCAACCAGAAAAAAGGTTTTATCTTTTGTTTTCTATCTTGTGTAGTACTGATATGTCAACGTGCGGTACATAAGAACCAAAGGCAAGGCACCTTTATTAATCTTCTTGATTTTGAGTTCTCTTCTTCATCATCCTGCTTCTATATAACTTTGAATAAACACTAAATCCCATTTTAAAAATCTACTACCATTCTTGGCTATTGAATTCTTTGGTCTTCGTTCCGTGTAAGCATTTAATGTCTTGGTCTTGTTTTCCTTCTATCTCTTTGGGAAATGGAAGTGTGGTATTCATGTGTACCTGTCTCTCACCAAGTTTACGTTTCTCTTTCATTTTCATTCTCTTGTCTTCCCCAACAAGAACACAAATCCAGTTTCGTGTTTCACAGATTGAACTATTTGATTTTTAAAATGGGTTTGTATAAAAAAAAACTTATTTTGTTACTGTTGTGGATTAATGGCAGATTCTTGAGTATAATCCAAAGTCAACAGACTTTTTAAGATTAGATCTATGAGCAAAAGAGATCATTTACGTCATTTGATTCTATTCTATGGTTTAGCTTCTACAAATTAAGCAATAGATTAAAATAATCTCTAGCTTTATCTTTTGTTGTGTTGCTAAGTAGTCACTGTTTCTGCTTCAGTTACTTTTGGGCGTGGAAAGCTAGAAAATTTCAAAGAATCGGATTGATCCATAAAGAAGGTACCTTTTTACATATGTCTCGTCATCCCTGAAAAAGAGTAAGTTCTTTTTTAATTGATATTAAAGAACCTGTCTTTTGGGTTTGTCTAGAGTTTTGCAAGAAAAAAAAAGCTAGAAGAAGCTCTGTAAAAATGAGGAGCTCGCTTATGATGGAGAGAGAATCGTCAAGAAATGAGACAGAGAGAGAAGAGAGAGATGACTTGGAAGAGACGCAAAATGAAGCAGATGAGTTCAGATCAATTCCTCCATGGAAGAGTCAAATCACTGTCAGAGGAATCGTTGCAAGCATAATCATTGGTATTATCTACAGTGTCATTGTGATGAAGCTAAACCTAACCACAGGTTTGGTCCCGAACCTAAACGTCTCTGCAGCACTTTTAGCGTTCGTGTTCCTTAGAAGCTGGACCAAGCTACTTACCAAAGCCGGGATTGTGACTAAACCATTTACTAAACAAGAGAACACTGTGGTCCAAACATGTGCTGTTGCTTGTTACAGCATTGCAGTTGGAGGTAATTTTGGTGAACTTTGGACGATATTTTTAATCATGTTCGATCAGGTTTTGTTTGGTTGCTTGAACTTGTGTATGTGTGATATGCAGGTGGGTTTGGTTCATACCTTCTTGGTTTAAGCACGAAAACTTATGAACAGTCAGGAACTCACACTGAAGGGAATAGTCCTGGAAGCACCAAAGAGCCAGGGATCGGTTGGATGACCGCTTTCTTGTTCTTTACCTGTTTTGTTGGTCTTTTAGCATTGGTTCCTCTAAGAAAGGTAGAGACTTCAAACATACCATTTCACTGAATTGTAGCTTAAGATATTTAGTTGTATGCAACATTTTTGCAGGCTTGGCCCGGCTTTCGGGGTTAGTATGGGCCAAGCCTGGACTATTAACCCTGGGTTGGCTGGTGTGGTCTATCCCAACATCTCTATAGTTTGTCTCTAGATTGCTAAGGTTCATTTATGCCTTTGTTTTGTATACCAGATAATGATCATAGACTACAAGCTGACATATCCAAGTGGAACAGCTACCGCGGTTTTAATCAACGGTTTCCACACTTCTAAAGGCAATAAAATGGCCAAGTAAGTATGAAACCTATTTTCTTGCTCTCTTTAGCCGTAACTTCTCAAATTTCTTGAATAAAACTATTTGCTTGCTCCTTTTCTATGCAGGAAACAAGTTTTTGGGTTTGTGAAGTATTTTTCGTTTAGCTTCATATGGGCTTTCTTTCAATGGTTCTTCACTGGAACCACCGGTACAGAGTGTGGATTCATTCAGTTTCCAACTTTTGGATTAGAAGCTTGGAAGAACTCGTGAGTTTTTGTTACTTAGTTACTTAACACATCTCAAGTACTGATGAAAACAGAATCTTGATGATCTTGAAAATTACTTCACAGATTCTACTTCGACTTCAGCATGACATACATTGGAGCAGGAATGATATGTTCCCATATTGTCAACTTATCTTTGCTTTTCGGCGCGGTTCTGTCTTGGGGAATCATGTGGCCTCTCATTAAAGGTCTTAGCGGAGATTGGTACCCATCTACTCTGCCTCAAAGCAGCATGAAGAGTCTCAATGGTTACAAGGTGTTTGTATCTATCTCATTGATCCTCGGTGACGGGCTTTACCATTTCATCAAGATACTTATGTTCACTGCAAGAAACATATACTCCAAGTTAAAGAATCACCACTCTGGGAAATCTAGTAAGCATATATATAATACGGAAAATTATTAAACTCATTACTATATAGTTTTTTTTCGTATCTGATTAGAGATATTATTGCAGATTCGGACAAAGATAAACAATCTATTGCAGAACTTAAAAGAGATGAGATCTTTGTAAGAGACAGCATTCCTCTATGGGTTGCAGCCGTTGGATACGCAGCTTTCTCTGTTGTCTCAATCATCGCCATCCCTATGATGTTCCCGGAGCTCAAATGGTACTTCATCGTCGTAGCTTACATGTTAGCTCCATCTCTAGGCTTCAGTAACGCCTACGGAGCAGGTCTTACAGACATGAACATGGCTTACAACTACGGTAAAGTCGCTCTCTTCATCTTAGCCGCGATGGCAGGGAAACAAGACGGTGTAGTCGCGGGTCTTGTCGGATGCGGGTTGATAAAATCCATCGTCTCGATATCTTCTGACCTAATGCACGATTTCAAGACAGGGCACTTGACTCTGACTTCACCGCGGTCGATGCTTGTAAGCCAAGCAATCGGGACAGGGATAGGTTGCGTCGTGGCTCCTCTCACTTTCTTCCTGTTTTACAAAGCCTTCGATGTCGGGAACCCTGAAGGAGAGTATAAAGCTCCCTACGCTTTGATATACAGAAACATGGCGATTCTTGGAGTTGAAGGCTTCTCTGCTTTGCCTCAGCATTGTCTACAGCTTTGCTACGGTTTTTTCGCGTTTGCGGTGGCAGCGAATCTCGTTAGGGACTTGTCGCCGGAGAAGATAGGGAAGTGGGTCCCGCTTCCGATGGCTATGGCGGTTCCGTTTCTTGTGGGAGGGTACTTTGCTATTGATATGTGTGTTGGGAGTTTGATAGTGTTTGTGTGGAATAAGAGGGATCGAGTTAAAGCCGGTTTGATGGTACCGGCGGTTGCTTCCGGTTTAATATGTGGAGATGGGCTTTGGATTTTGCCGTCGTCGGTTCTTGCTTTGGCTGGTGTGAAGCCTCCGATTTGTATGAGCTTCATGTCGAGTAAATAGGTTGTGTTTAAATAAAAATATAGAGGTTTTATAAGTTTTGCTGTATGTGTAGTGTTAAATAGCTAAAGAAATGTTTAAATAAAGAGAGTTTGACAGAAATAGAGGTTATATAAATGTGTATACAAGTAAAAACGTCTTAAACAAATCTTATAGTTTACTATTTTTTAAATGATAAAATCATTTATTTTATATTGCGAGCTCTGTATTTTAGAACAGAGAAATTCCATAGGATATTTCTAAAAAAATATTTTGTCACAAATTATATTCTTTAATGTTCAAAATTACCAAAATATTTTATTAAAGAGATAAATATAAACTTATACACATACAGCTAACTAATCTAGAATTATGTATAAAGAGTTAAGGATTGTGATTTTGTAGTAAGTTTACTCTTTAAATAAATAAATATAAAAGCTTCTAAATAAAATGAAAAATAGTTCCAAAATAAAAAATTTGTATTTCAAAAATAATTTGCCAAAAAAGTTCAAAAAGAAAAAATTATCAAAAAATCGAATTTGATAACGTATAATCTGAAACTGTAAAGTTTTTATTTTATTTTATTTATTTTAATTCTTTATTATTTATTTATATATATCTGTAAAACAAAGAGTAGTAGAATATTTTGCCTCTCTAACAAAACTTTGTCTAATTATTTTGGAGTCTTTTGGTGATAAAATCTAAAAATAATTTATTTGAGAGAATTACAGTTCAGAATAAGAATAAATTAAAGATAATTAAAAAAAAGTAACCAGGGGTCCTTAAGTGGATGTTTAAAAATCCTGTCATGGCATGGGCTTAGGTCCGGTGGGCTAGTCGATCACGCTTTATGGTCGGATACTGGATTAGCAAAAAAAAAAAAAAAAAAAAGAAAGTAAGTAAGAAATATTTTCAAGATGAGAAAGCAAAGATTACTTTAAACTGTAGGTAAGTTGACCAAATATGTGAGATTTCTTTCCTCTTTTCCCCAGTTTGCCAAACTTTTATTTCTTTCTTTTTTGGTCGTAAGATATTTGGAAAGAACACACTGAAACCACACGTCATATTGCTATCGGGGAGACACTAGTTTCTTTGGTACGGCATAGACCATAAATTAGATCTGAACCCAAAGTCCAATTTGATATGCGTTTAATAGTCAAACCGCAACTTGACCAAAACTACCCCTATTCATCCAAACATATCAAGGGTAGTTTCATAATTTAGCATTTTAATACTAGAAAGTTCTTAAGTAGGTGAATCTTAACCCATGAGATGCCATCGCAATTCTGAATCTGAAAGAGAAAGATCCCACACCTTTGGGTATCACGATCTTTGATTATTTCGATTTGAATCTCTGTCATATTTATTTTTCTCTAATAATCTTGATTATTGTAGATTTGAGAAGAGAGATGGCTTCTGAAAAGAAGGTTCTAGCTTTCGAAGAAGTTTCAAAGCACAACAAAACCAAGGATTGTTGGCTTATTATCTCCGGCAAGGTTAGTAAGATTTTGTCTCTTTGTCTGATAATTCTCCTGTCTACACGGCATAGTGTTTTTGTACGCGGTTGATTTGTCTTAAAGCTTGGATGATGTGACACTTGGAGAAGCGTGGTTTGATGTTTACTGCTGATAGTTAGTTTTTCATTATGACCAGTGAATGTTTTGTACTTAAAGCTGATCTAGCTAGCGTTCATTAATGTTTGCTTCTTTTGCTTTGAGTTCAGGTGTTTGATGTGACCCCATTCATGGATGATCATCCTGGAGGCGACGAAGTTTTGTTGTCCTCAACAGGTTATTTTGTATGATGATAAAATTTTTATGAGATAACTTAGGTTTCTCTCTCTGATCCAGTCGAATATATTCGATTACTGTTTCTGTTTTGTTGCAGGGAAAGATGCTACGAATGACTTTGAAGACGTTGGTCACAGCGACACCGCAAGGGACATGATGGAGAAGTACTACATTGGTGAGATTGATTCGTCTACTGTTCCAGCGACAAGGACATACGTTGCACCAGTTCAACCCACGTACAACCAAGACAAGACACCGGAGTTCATCATCAAGATTCTCCAGTTCCTTGTTCCAATCTTGATCTTGGGTCTTGCTCTTGTTGTCCGTCAGTATACCAAGAAAGAGTAGAGGCAAAGAGTCTTCAACTTTTGCTTCGTATTGGATAACTCTTTCTGATCTCTCTGTTGTGAAACTGTTGTTCGGTCCTAGACTTCATCAATGTCCTTATTGAAACTACTACGAACCAATAATTTAATGTGTTTGCTAGTCTTTTCGTTAGTCGTATCATCTAGCTTTTCTTTTGCGTGTATTAATTGAGATGTTTTAAACTTTCATGAGCAAATAAAAGAGTGCTTTGTTTTTCCTAAAATGTGGAAGCGAGAAATTGAATAGCTACCATTGAACTTATATGATCCATACATTTGTGGAAAAGGACAGTAGCTTCAGACTCAATCCCTTACATGTCTTTACCGACAGGATAATGTCTTGGTTCTTTTTCATTAGTACTACTACAATAAACGTGATAGATAGAGTCTAGTATCGTGTTGTCTGTGTGATGATGAAAACCGAAAGAAATAAATAGCAAGGGACAAGTAGACGGTAAAGAACCAAACCGTGATAACCTTGACAAAGCGCAAGGGCCTTTGTGTAGTAAAGAGCACCTCATTTCTCGCTCTGAACGAAACATTTTCACTCAAATGCTGAGAGATTGAGAGGAAAGAGTTTCAATCTTATCATGAAGCGTCACAACAAGGTGATGAGCATCATCAAGAAGCTTCCAGACATCAAGCTGACCAGCCATGCTATTACATTCTTCCACAATCTCATCCATACTACTGTACTTCTGTATGATCAGTTTCCTACGCAGCACCAACGCCGCGATAGCGTACAGCAACAGATCATCAGTAGGAGGTGCTTGCTGTCTGATTCTACTCCACGGCGACTTCCCAACTCCAGCTCTAATAGCAGCTTGATCAGCCCACATCACTTCCCAAAGACAAAGCGTCTGCTCAAAACTCAACTCCCTCCTAAACATCACCAGAACCATCCTGTAAACGAAACTACAATCCTCTGCTTGGAGATTCTCCAAGTGTTTGTAAAGCTGAGAGTCTTTGGATTTGATGATCTTTGAGACAATACCAAGCTGTCTTTGTATCCCTGCTTCGTCTAGCCTGAAGTTATGCCGAGCTTTCTTCATGAAACCAACAAAGCACCAGAAAGCCTCGTGGTCCTCTGAGATGACAGCGAGGATGGGTGATAAGAGATCGCTCATTCCTTGGCAGTAGCCTATCTCAGGGTCGTAGAGAGCATAGGCTTCAAGAATGGCAACGAGACGTGCAGCGTGGTAAAGCCTGCAGGTTTCTAAGTTATCATAGTCTTTTAAACCAACGGACTCAGCTAAACAGCGAGCTTTGCTTTCTGTGATTGCGGTGGAAGAAGAAGAGTATGTAGCCCAGTCGGAGTCAGCACGTAAGGCATCAAGGCGGATGATACGTTGCCATGTAGAGAAATCTTCGTGTACAGTCACTTGTACTTGGATCTCAGGAGAAGCTACAGGAGGAGAACAGTTCTCTCCCGAATTATAATTACTAATGTTTTCCTTCTCTGGTTTTTTCTCATCGCTGTATCCAAGAGACGGAAGAAGCTGAACATCTTCATTGTCTTCACAAGAGTCAGTGTCGGAAGAATCAGTGTTGACTGCAGAGACCACATCTTGTTTTGTCATTGGTCCGGGAGTCTTGTAGTCATCCATAAACCTAACATATTGATCATCTGCCTCCTCCTCCTCCTCCTCAAGATCATCCGTACTTGCATTGCCGCGCTTGAGAAGGATCTTGCACCGCCTCTGTAGTTTCTCATACTCCTTCCTACATTCAATGATCCCAACAATGAATACATTTGTCCACATATATAATATAAAACATCAAACCAAATCAATATTGGCTAACCTCTTTTGAGTATTCACAGCTTCTCTTTCTTCACTAGTACTGTTCAAATCATAGCTGTCATACATAAGAGAGAAACAAGTTGAGAATCTCAACAAGAGTGATTAAAAAAAGCAAGAAGACTAGTTCAAAACTCACACTCCGAGTAAGAAGAGCCACACTTCTGCACGAATACTTGGATCAACACCCTACAGGAACACAGTAAAACCATATCAGAACCCATAAAGAATCAAAAGAAGTATATAGTTTGCTTGTTCAAAGTTACTCACTCTGCTTCTAACTCTCTTGAGAAATCCAACTCCACCGTCACGAAGTTTGCCCTCGGGTGTAAATAAACTCCTCCATTGATGCGGCGTCAAAGGCCATTTTCTTTTCCGGCGAGACCACGGTGATTTCCGCCGGCTTCTAACACAAAAAAAAAAAATCAAACCAAGTAAAGTGTCAAGCTATAAGCCACCAACATTGTTTTCTAGAATCAATTCTAATAGCAAAGGAAAGAAACAATCCTAACAAGTTAAGCAACTTTTAGATCAAATCTCTATTACAGGATCGGTAATGAAGAAGAGAAAATCTTAAGATCCCAAATCTAAAGAGGTATTGGGACACTCACCGATCAGAAGAAGTAACAGAAGATGGAGACGAGAGATTAGCCACAAAGAGAACCGAACGGAGATGGATCCACGACGACGAAGAAGAAGAAGAAGACGAGGAAGATGAAGAGGAAGAAGAGGAAGAGTTAGAGGAAGGAGGTGAAGTAGAAGAAGAAGATGGCAAGGAAGTCGAAGAAGGTAACGGAGAAGATGCGTTTCCCGACGACGTTGCAGTGTGGCTTCGCCTTAACGCCTTCATTTTTTATTCTCCCCTACTCACAACTTTAAATCTCAATCACACCAAAAAAAAAAAAAACTCGAAACGTCTCGGTCTTGCATCAGAGATCTACGATATCTTCACTTAAAACATCCCCATTTGTCAATAATATAAAGTATCATCAACGGCGATTCACCGCCAGAACTCCTCCCGTGTTTATAGGAAATACGGCAGTGGGAATCCGGCATCAGAGTTCAAGATAATGACCGATTTGCCCTCCCGCTATCACTATCTATCACTGGTGATTCGCTAACGCAGCTTCTTCAGCACGCCGAAACTGAAAAAAAGAAAGAAAATGAAGGAAGGAGAAAGGAGAAAGAAGAAACGAAGCTAAAGCACACAACAACTGAAGCCCATCTTAACCACTTTGCTCTTTCTTTTTCAGCTCTTGTCTTTTTTTCTTTTTTAGGCGCGTGGACTAGCGCGTTTCCTTTAAATTTAAACGCGCATTAATTCTACACGCGATATGGTAGGTGAATTTTGAGCGATACAACGACGTCGCTTTGGGTTCTCGTTCGTGGATTTTTACGCGATAACATATGAAAATCAGAAGAGACCAACCAAGAGATGACACGTGTTCATAAACATTAATAAGTCAAAAGGTAAAGATTTTCATTGCGTCTCAGACTTTACCGCGGCTTTTAAGGAACATAATCATGATTAATTCTGGTAGATCTTCAAGTAAAAATTTCTAATCTCTGCTAAAAAAGACAAATCTAATCATCGAATGTTGACCTAATGGACCTACATCTACTCAATGTAGATTAGCACCATGGCTATGTAAACAAGTGTCTGGTGGTGGGTGCACATACCAAAATCCTTTATTTTAAGAACAGTTTTTGTTTGGTATGATTTTTGAAAATGTATCACAACTCTAAAGCAATCAGCATAAAAGACGCTTCTTACATATATAAACAACAAAGTTCACTCCTCGTTATTTCTTCATTGGTAAATTTTCAGTCACTCATTAACTATCAAAATCACAAATGACCGATTATATGGATATTTGTTGTCAATTAAACTAGAGGTGTAAATGGTGATTACTAATCACTATGAAGGAAATGATTCTCTTTTTGTTTGATTAATTAGCAGCTATGTTTGATTTGTAAATAAAACCTTCATCTAAGGAAAACCAAAAAACTGCAGTAGCCATTTCTTTTAGCATATTTATACATAAACAATGACTGAAAATAATTTGATTAGTATTGATGTTTATTGTGAATTTTGTTGTCACTTGCGACTTGTGAGTCGTTAAAGTGTAACAGAATAAAGAGAAAAATAGCTATGCTTTTTTTTTTACTGACATAAAGCAGAAGATATGTTATTAAATTAATGTAGCCGCGTATGTCATCACACAAATATGGAATATAATTGGTATTAAATTACAAAGCATATGGAATAGAATTATTCTGATAATGTACTAGTTGTATTTTATTTAAATATATACTTGCATGTTCTTGGAACTATGATTGTGCTTAAATGATATTCCAAATCACAAATCACAAAGAAGAGAAGCTAATGAGATTTGAATGAGGAGCTTATGTTCATTGGATAGAGAAGACTGCAAGACTAGTTGCCAAGTTGTAGGTATATAATAACATTATTATTTTCTAGGGACAAACACTTGATTGCTTGAAAGATAAGTCAATGTCCTATGTAAATACAGAAACTGCAATGATAAGTTTGGTCACTACGGATAGAGATCTCAACAGAGCAGAAAACACACAACAATCGATAACCCTGTTGATGTTTCCCTCAACAATGCCAGTAACGACGTAAACAACAACAGTGCTGACTCAACACCAGTCTGTTCTCCATTCAAAACATAGAACTGTCTAGTTTGTAAGCGGATTAATGGTCACAACCATTTCAATCCTAAAGGCAACCCTATGACCATGCCGATCCTGAGCATAATCAAGAAAATATTGGTTTAACATCTCTAATTTTTCTTTTCAAAAAAAAGATCTCTTCTTTTTTTCAAAACCCAGTATATATATATATATATCTTATAAGATTTAAATTGTTAAAAATAATTTCTTGTTATATTGTTAAAAATAATTTCTTGTTAAATTGTTTGTAGATAAGTAACAAGTTGATAACACTATAGCCATATACTTGATTTTTCTTTTATAAAGTCCATAACACTTTCTCTCTTTTTACAGTGAGACTGCGGGTTGGGTAGGGTCTTATGGTAGTTCGGTTAGACTAAAATCTCGCTGAATTGAACAGTTGCAAATTCGGTTCAGTATGGGTAGTTAAAAAATTTCACCTCGTTCGCTAAAAAATTTGGGTAAATTCTGTTAAATTCGGGTAATTTTGGTTGGTTTGGTTTAAAAGTTTGGTTAATTAGGTTAGGTCGCTTTGAAATTTGGTTAACAATTTCTTTTTGAAAAAAAATTAACTAATCGATTACAAAACCGAGACTAAAACCAAAGTTTTTTTCATAAACTTGCAGAATCTAGCCTAACTTCTCACTGAATTAACCAAAATTTAGAATTGGTTCGATTCAAAAGCCTAGGCCTAGTGAGTTCTGTCCATCTTTGTGGATTTGGTTTTGAGTCAAATCATTTATGTATATTTTTTTGTCGAGAGTAAAATCTTATAAAAAGCATGAGATCTTGATCTGAATGATAGCTACAAGGGAATGATGCATACATATAGAGAATAAATGATTCTGTTTATGCACATCGTTCTGCATTGCGGTCTAAATATTTAGGTATTTTCTCTTGATCTCTGTCATCTCGTCTGAAAAATGTTCTGTATCATAGACCGTGGTGATTCTTGAGCTGCATATTCTAACTGAAACTGTTCATCATTTGTAAGTCTCCATCCCATAGCACCTAAGTTATCCTCAACATGTCTAACTGACTTTATACCCGGTATAGGCACTGTCCCTTTGCATATACACCAGTTTATTGCAACCTAGTACAGATAATAAACACATTTTTTTAAAGAGTGCCACCTTCCTTTTTCCCAAAGAATCTTATGTGGAGTAAAGACATTACCTGAGGCATAGTCTTTCCTCGTTTCTCCGCAATCTCTCTCAGTGCTACAAGCAGAGGCTCTAGTCCAGGAAGAATCTGTCTAAACAGCAATGATCTGTTGCACAAAACAAGAAATGTTCAAGCATAGTTACAAACAAGAAACACTGTAGATAAGTCTGGAGAATACTTAACCGAGGACCAGTGGGAAGCTTTGAAGAGGAGTATTTCCCGGTTAGCATCCCTAAACCGAGAGGACTATAAGAGATCAAACGGATCCCGAGCTCGTCGCATACGTTCTTGATCTCTTGTTGCTCTTTTCCGCAGCTTAGCAATGAGAACTGCACCTGAGCAGAGCATAAAGGAACCCCCCGGGTTTTGAGGTAATCATGAATCTTCACAAGCTGTTGAGGTCCATAGTTACTGACTCCAACGGCTCGAACTAGCCCCTGATAAAAAAGGAGGAACCAGTGTATCAACAAAACTCCAGAGAGCTTAATGTAATTTAAAGAGCTTTGTGTATTTCAGTAGATTTCTAAGCAACCTTCTCGTACATTGCCACTAGACCATCCCAAAGAGCAAGTTCTTGTAGAGGTGCGTAGTTGGCCGTTGACCAGTGAAGCTGTCCGATCCCCAGCTGGTCTATCTGAAGCCGGTCTAAAGAAGCTCTAGGAACATGAAAAGAACATACACTTATCATCAGTCTCCAACAAACCAGAAGTAGAAAGAGAGACAAAAAAATGATGAGTTGAAAGAGACCTGCAAGCATTCACAAACTGTCCTGAAGTTAACCGCCATGGATAAGCTGCAAACTTGGTAGCTATCACAACTTCATTCTGTTTCCCTTTCAAGACTGACATTCACACAAAAGAAACATCACTATTTGCATGAGAAAAGCACAAAGTAACGTTTCAGACAACTCCAAACGCAACAACGGATCATTAGGACCAACTGAATTGTAATGAAAAGAGAGACAGTACCTTGAGATTGTTTGATGAATTGTCCCAGAAGTCTCTCACTTTGGCCATTAAGCCGACCAGTACCATAAGAATCTGCAGTATCAAACAAATTGATACCGTTTTCCAAAGCCAGTTCGAAAGCTTGTTGGAGCTGATCGTCCATGGAAGTCTGGTAACCCCAAAGAAGCTGATTGCCCCAAGCCCATGTCCCAAAACCCATCGGAGAAACACTCAGAGGACCCATTTTGACCTAAACATAATCGATCATACATCCAGTTACAATCGAAAAAGAGAGACTTTTGATGACGTATATGGGTTTACAGAATTACAGTTGTGGTGCATGCACAGGGGTTTACCTTTTGCCATGGCCAGAAAAGAGGGAGCTTGAGGGGCTTAAAGGAGGTTGTGTTTGAGCAGTTTATGTTGGTGAAGGTCTTTGTGGTGGTGGACAATGTGAACGCCATTGAAAATGTGTTTTCGAGGCGTGAAAAGTGGAGAAGAATCTGAAGCCTCCGTTCTCAGTGTGTGGCCCGAAACATTTGGATATCTTTAGATATAACTTTTCTTTACGCTTTTCCTTGCCTGTGTTATTATGAATTTTATCTGATAACCAACAATTATAGGATGATTGAAGTGAATATTATATATTTTTCTTCTAAAAATATGTAGGCAGGTACTACAATTTATGAAATTGGACATTTGGACAAATGGATATATAGAGACGAGCAATCATATATCAATTTTTTTTGTGCATCACTATACAAGTTTAGGAGTCTAATTTTTTATTCTCACCCTTTGATTATCTAGATCTGTCTCTCTGCTCCTGCTGTTGCAATTTTGTGAAACCCAAATGTTAATTACTTGATTATTGTTTACAGAACTGAAAACCGAAAAATTAAATTACAAAAGTAAAGTTTGTCAAAAAATGTTAATTTCGTAACCATCTATTATATTAAAAGAGAAATCATGACTTATTTCATGTGTGTGTTTTTAATTTGGATTATCCTTAAAAAATTTATTAAAATTTTACATTAACATCATT